ATTTCCAGGGCCATCGCAAGTTTTCCCGTTAGCTTTCTGTTACTGATTTCTAGTTTTAATTCTGTTATGGCCAGAGACTGTACTTTATTTTATATGATTTCCATTAATTTAATTTATTAACTTTTTATTAAAAAAAAATTTTTTTTTAACGTTTATTTATTTTTGAGACAGAGACAGAGCATGAACAGGGGAGGGTCAGAGAGAGAGGGAGACACAGAATCTGAAGCAGGCTCCAGGCTCTGAGCTGTCAGCACAGAGCCTGACGTGGGGCTCGAACCCACGGACCGTGAGATCATGACCTGAGCTGACATCGGACGCTTAACCGACTGAGCCACCCAGGCGCCCCTATTAACTTTTTAAAAAAATGACCAGGACATGGCCCATTTTGTGTATGTTCTGTATGCAATTGAGAAGAATGTAATTCTGTTGTTGGTTGAGGTGTTCCATAAATGTTGGGTTAGATCCAGTCAATTGAAGATGGCATTCAGGTCTTTTATATCTGTGCTGATACTCCATAGTTGTATCATTTACTTAGGTGGCATGTTTAAGTCTCTGTAGTTGGGGGGGGTTGTTTATTTTTCCTTTGATAACTGTCAGTTTTTGCCTCATGTATTTTTTAAACTATATTGTTACATACATTTGCAGTTAGGATTGTTGTATTTTCTTGGTGAATTCAGTCTTTTATCATGCAGTGGGAGAATAGAGAGTGACTTATTCCATGCTCTTAGGATCACAGCTCCTCTGGTCAGAGAGAATTCCCCTTCCCTAATTTTTATATGGCTGCCTATTACTGCCATTGCTGTTATGGCACAGCCACTGCCATTGCAGTGTTGCCTAGAGGCAGTGGTGGAGGGAAGGAAAACATAGAAAGCCAAAAGAGAGAATTTCTCCCATTGTCCTTCTTTTCCTGCTTCCTGGATCAGAGACAGAGGGTTTTTCTTAGAGCTACTTGTCTGTACTCCCTGAGCACTTTTGGGTTTGGGGCTGTCATTGGGTCCAGGCTGGGCAGTACTGGAGGAAGAATGATAACCTCTTCCATTTTGATGGAACTTCAGATTCTCCTCTTTCTGGAATCTCCTTGCTGTCATTTACTTTTTAGCATCCTTGGGTAGCTGTGGCATGCATTTTATCCAGGATTTATAGTTAGGGTCAGAGGGAGAGACAGGAGCCTCCATGGAGTATGTTTATTCCATCTTCCCTGGAACTGGAATTTTTTGTTTCGTTTCTAACTTAGAATGTATTCTGAAATATACTAAACTCTTTATTATGTAAATTTTGTTTTTCATTCATGCCTACTAAGACATTTTTTTTTCTTTTTTTTAAGTCTATTTATTTTTGAGAGAGACAGAGTCAGCGTGAGCAGTGGAGGGGCAGAGAGAGAGAGAGGGAGGAAGAATCCCAAGAGGGCTCCATGCTGTCAGCACAGAGCCCGACACGGGGCTTGAACCCACAAAATCGTGAGATCATGACCTGAGACAAAGTCAGACACTCAACCAGCTGAGTCACCCAGGCACCCCTTACTCTTAAATTTTTTATCCTAAAGTCATTTGTATTTGTAGTCATTGTGAAAGTAGTTCTTCAAGTAGATCTCTAGTTTAGCTACGAAGATTTTAAAAAACTATTTATAAAAAATTTTAAGGATTTAAATGCTTTGTTTGTGGAAGCTTTTTATTTTTAAAAAGCTTCTGATGGGGTGTTTGAGTGGCTCAGTCGGTTAAGAGTCCAACTTCAGCTCAGGTCATGATCTTGCAGTTGGTGGGTTTGGGCCCTGCATCAGGCTTGATGCTGACTGCTCAGGGCCTGGAGCCTGCTTTGGATTCTGTGTCTCCCTCTCTCTCTACCCCTTGCCTGCTCACGCTGTCTTTCTGTCTTGCTCAAAAAGGAACATTAAAAACAAACAAAAAAAAAATTAAAAAGCTTTTGATTATGAAAATTTTCTAATATATATGAAAATAGAGAATAATACAGTATAATTTAATATACTCATATCCCCTCAGAGTGATCAACATTTTGCCCATTTTGTTTCCTTTTTTCCTTCCTTAATACTTTTTTCCTCTAGAGTATTTTGAAACAAATCCTAGCAGTCATAAAATTTTATCTGTAAAGATAATGTTCATTTTTGAAGTATTAAGAACTCTAGCCCTGGAGTTCTAAGACATGGTTTGTGTGCTGGCTCTGACACTTACCACCTTTGTAATCCTAAGCAAGTTGCATAATTGATTCGAAACAAAGTTTCTTCATAGGCAAAGCAGGTATAATGATTTCTGCCCTTCAAAAGGGTCTGGACCAGGGATACCTAGGTGACTTAGTTAAGTGTCCCACTCTTGATCTCAGGGTGGTGAGTGCAAGTCCCACATTGGGCCCAAAAATGGTCTGGAACAAGTGAAATAATGAAGATAGTGAGTATAAGAATGTTCAAACACTAGGCCCTCAGTATTTTTATTAAAAAAATAACAGAATAACAGTATACACGTAGTTTTATATAGTTTAGTACACGTGATCTTAAGAGGGCTAACGGAGGAACACAACCAATACCTAGAGAACTTGGTAAATTCCTAATGTACTATCCCTACCTTGAGGAGTGATGCCATAGTGAACTGGTGGGAGTGGGATATCCTCCTGGTTTGTGCGATTAGAACATTGAGAATTAATGGTTTAAGGGTTCTACAGCTTGTATGTACTGAAGATGATGGTAATGGTATCTAATTTTATCTTTTTTTTTAACTTATTGAGGTACAAGATACCAATAAAATGCACTTGTTTTCTTTTTAATATTTATCTTTTTATTTTTTGAGAGATATGGAATGTGCGTGTGCCCAGGGGAGGAGCTAAGAGAGAGGTAGAGAGAGAATCCCAAGCAGGCTCTGTGCTGTCAGTGCAGAGCCCAATGTGGGTCTTGATCTCATGAAATGTAAGATCATGACCTGAGCCTAAATCAAGAGTCAGATGCTTAATCGACTGAGCAACCCAGGCGCGTGTAAAATGCACTTGTTTTAAGTGTGCATTTCCGTGAATTTTGAGAGAGATCTATACAACCATCATAAACATTTCTATCACATCAGAAGGTTTCCTTGCATCCTAGTTGATCACCATCCCTACCCTCAACCCCAGGCAGTCATTGGTCTCTTTAGCATCACTATAGATTAGCCTGGTCTTTCCTAGAGTTTCATATAAGTAAAATCATAAAGTATGTACTTTCTCGTTTCTTTCTTTTTTTTTTTTTTTGCTCATCATAATGTTTTTGAGATTCTTCCATGTTGTGTTGGTTTGGTTTCATTCCGGGAAGTATTCGTTTATTATTATTCACCTATTTATGGATGTTGTTTGAGTTGTTTCCAGTTTTTAGTAATTATAAATGAAGATTCTATAAAGATTTGTGTACAAATCTTGGTGAGAACATATGTTTTCATTGCTTTTGGGTAAATACCGAGTGGATTTCCTGAATCCTATGCTAAGTATATGTTTAATTGTACAAAAAATTGCCAAACTATTTTCCAAAGTAGTCGAACCATTTTGTATTCCCATGAGTGGCTTGTGAGAGTTCATTTGTTTTGTATCCTTGCCAGCACTTGGTATGGCCAGTCTTTTAAATTTTAGCCATTCTAATACTGTAGGGTGGTATCTCTCTCTCTCTCTCTTTTTTTTTTTTTTTT